TCTTCTAGCTTTATATATACAAAAATCTCTTCCACTTGTGCGAGATGATTCATAGTTTTTCTTGATGATTTGTAGTTTTTCTTGGTAAAAATATGAATTCATTTGTGGAATTCGATAACATAATATGAATATGCACGACAAATGATTTCACAACTAAGAAACCCCGAATCAAAAGCCAGATTCTTGAGTTGGGGAAAAGACTTCTCCTTACCACCCGAGAATTGCGTTAGCATCACCATGTCTTTGGCAAACACAATGTTAGAAGAAAAATCGTTGACTTTTGATTCTATCGGCGTGATCATGTCGACTATTATCACTTTTCCTTTTTCAGGTAGACTTCTCCAACAATTCTTTAAAATCTTTACACAATCTTCATCATTCCAATCATGTAGTATCCACTGTCATTAAATTATATTATCAATTTTATTGTAGTTAATATATGGTTGACCCTGAAATTATATATTTGGTAATGATAAAATTAACTTTCCCATCAAAAAGAGTATGTATAAGAACTTACTTTCTTTACCAAAATTTAAAAAAAAAAAACTTACTTTCATGAAGATAGCATCTCCTTTTGGAATTTCTATAAACATATCTCCTGAAACATGCTTCACTCCTATATCCAACCGATTTTTAGTAAAATTGAGCAAAACAAACATAACCATTTTAAGAGAGATATGCACTAAAACTATACCACTTAAAAATACAACTTATTAATTTTATCACTTAGGGTTATACCTGGATAAGGAGGAGCATTGGCTATCACCGAGGCTAGATCGAAATTGATGCCTTTAATCTGAGGATACTTAGAAGTAACTAGACCTATAACGGTTCCGTTTCCTCCTCCCACATCCACCAAAGTATTCACATCTTCGAAACCTTTGTAAACTTCTAAAACCTTCTTCATCGTTAATGTGGAAGCTCCTGACATTCCCCGGCTAAAATTCTCAGCGAATCCTTCGTTCAAACTAATGTATTCGAAAAATCTCATGCCATGAGCAGAGCTGAATGCATCCTCTCCTTCTAGTATCACATCTTTGAGATGTGTCCTATGAAAAAAAAAATCATCAATTGTTAGTTGACGGTTTGTATATTTATAGAACATTTTGTTATATACTAGTTTTGTTAGAATTAAGGTTTATAGTTATTAACCAAAAAAGGGTTACTATACTTGATGATTAGCTTGTTCGTGAATAATTAAGAACTACGTACCAAGCCTTGAAATAGACTTCGCTTAGGTTTATCATGAACAGGGACGCGAGAGAACCCGATCCATCTCCACGGTTCAAGAAAAACGCGCAAACCGGTTCAGCTGCATATTCCCTCTCGATCTTTCCGGTTTCTCCGTTTTCAACCATACGGTGCTTCAAGATCGAGTGACTCGCTAGTAGAACCAACATCCGGTCCAACAAATTCGGTGCCTCTGGGTTGTTGGGTTTGGTTGGGAGACGAATTGCAAGCTCAGAAGCCGAAAGCCACACGCCTTTATCTACCGCAGCGATCGTGTCGATGACACCAAGCTCCAAGGCGGCTTTGAGAACCATTGGGAAGGCCATAGTATTCACGAGCCTCTCTGCTTGCAAGCTCACCGTTTCTTCGTCAAGTTGTTGTTCTTCTTTGGTTAGATTTGGTTTAGGGGAAGTGGTTAAGGGATCTTGAAGATTGTTTGCCATTGTTTTTGTTGGTTGTAAAAATGAGGAAGATAGATAAGAAAGGTATTATTGGTAAGACAAAGTTGGTTTCAACGTTCACATTT